GAATGATGAAATGAATTTGATAAGACATGTGTTTAAAGATGAGAATGAGGAACATGCAATTCAGTTATATTCTTTTGCCGAGAAGTGCATGTCTACAAATGGACGTACCCTAAGAAAACTACCTGGAGGGGAGTGCTTCAGATACGATTCAGAGAGAATAAGAAACATTGCTGTAAATTGTAGGAGTCTAGAGTTCTGTGATTCAAGCAAGGTCATCCTTATGGGCTTGAGATGATCTAGGCTTTTTATATCATAATGGAAAGTGTTTGGTTTACAAAATTTTATTAAGAGAAGTGTTCATTTTCTGCTTGATGGGTTTAATGCTAAAGTTATGGTATTGAGATATGATAGCTAGATTGTTAATATTAGCAGAGTTGACTTTGTGCATCCATAGTGTTGCAAAAACCAGGAAAGATTATATATTTATGTATATTCATATATTTTCCTATGTATTTAGATGCGATGACAATTATGTAACTGGAGTTGACTGATAGTATGATGTATGGATTGAGAATGTGGATATTGAATGGATAACATAAGCCATACAGGCCCAGAATTACTGTTTTAAACACCTTATGTTCAAGTCATAAGAAGAAGGAACATACCTGTAAGATAGACTTCAGAGTAGGTGGTTCTACGAGGGGAGTTGGGCTTGGGGATGTTATTATGTCTTGGAAAAATCTGGCGGAGGGGGAGACGGCAAGAATGTCACACCATGGAAAATTGTTTCCTAATGGTAGGTCACAAGGAAGTCTTGTCATGAGTGCATAAAGCTTTCAGGAGGAGATTGACTTCGTGGACTTCAGGAAGGGGCTCCTGTGATATTTCTATCAGTAAATGAGGCTGGAGTGTACTAGTCATGTTTGGGAGAATGCTGGATCCAGTGAGGGCAGTATTTCCACATACAGGAACCTGCATTGTAGGACGTGTTACCAAAAATTAAATCATACAAATATATAAATTGATAACACAAATAAGACATTGTTGCTTATTGTTACTGCCAATGCACAGAGTAGAGTGATAATATGGAGTATACACAAGAAGAAATGACATATATATCTATGAAAATAGCAGTACAGCAGAAGCATAGTATTGCAAAGAAGCAAGGAGCCTTGATACTGTGCACATTTGTTCACATGGACCAGGCCTGCAAGCTGCACACCTGAGAGATTCCCCAGACAAGTAAGCATAGTGCCTGGATTTTCAGGATTAAAGACAGAAAAATGTGTGGAGGGGAAAAAATACAGGAGGTTAAGTTTCAAGCAAAAAATATTTGCTGAAATGTACAAGAATAAAAAAGACAAAAAAGGAAAGAGGAGAAGAGAGGATGAACAAAGTCAAAGGAAAGGCCCCCCTCCATTTCCCACAAATTATAAAAAAGCAAACTGCGAAGAAGAATGTGTGGGAATAGTGGAAGAAGGAAGATAGACGGGGAGAGAAGCAGGAAAATGCAACACGGGAAACAAAGAAGATGGATGAGTGAATCAAATGTCCCTTATATGTAGACAAAAGAATGATCAAAAGGGGACTTGCTGAAACATACTGTAAAAAATGGCAAGTGCAGAAAGAACTCTGAATTGCAGGTCAGAACACACTATTCCATGACACTGAATCTCCATGACACACAAAAAACAGCACATTACATACACTCAGAGAGCAAAGTCTAGTAGCCTAGGTATTATGTTAAGAGTTTACAAGTAGGGTAAAAATTAGAGCCAATGTGAATTTTCCTATATATTTTTGGATATTCCATACTACAGTGGTTAGACAAAGTCAACTCAGTTAATATTTCATGATCTCTATAGCCTTCACACCAGACCTGGAAGGACCAGAAAACTGATACTATAAGGACTAGCACTTTATGAAAATATGTCCTAGCAAGCATTGCTAACAAAGAGAATCAGATGCATGTTGCTAACACATTGTTTTCTTTTGTTTAAGCAGTAACAAGACAAGTTCTGCAGACCTGTTAGGATTAAATCTTACCTTTGGTGGGAGCTCTGGGACCAGTGATAGCAGTCCAAGAGGGGTTCTAGCAACTAGCACTGTAGGGGACACTGCTGTCAACAGACCCATGTCCCCAGCATCTAATGCATTAACAGGTTGGTAATGCATTAACAGGTTAGCTGACTTACATATTTGCTTGTAGCTGGCACTGTGAAGTCAGGTGATCATTTCATTGCTATCTCCTAATTATTTTTCTTTTGTTTAATAAAGCACGTTCTTTTTTTTAAGTTATCTGTTTGTCTGATAACTGCGGTGCACATCATATTTTTTATCATTGAGCATGTTACACATCATACGAAAATAGTGCCTGTGAAACAAAGGTGAAGAGTGGATGATTCATGCACCAGTAGTTGTATGCAAAATGTTGAAAATTCAGAGGGATAATGGGATGTCAGGTATTAGCTTGATTTCTCACTTTGCTTTTTTGAAAAATTTATTAGACAAAGGGATTGTGCAATTATCAAATGCACTATTCATGTCTTATCTTAGATTTTCAGGCTTCACAAGTGCATGTGTTTATTTACATATATATATAAATGTAAGATCTATAGATGGGATTATAGTTTGATTGATTATGCCATCTTTATTTTTAGCAATGTTTAACCCTTTGTATGTGGGTACCTCTCCTGGACACAAATAGCTCCACCTCAGCTATGAAGGAGTCTGTTAATAGGCTTATGTTACCTCACTTGAATTCACCTTTCCATGATTTTTCATAAAAAAAAAAGAAGAAAATCTGTCACTGTTAATACTATTATTATTATTATTATTATTATTATTATTATTATTATTATTATTGTTGTTGTTATTATTATTGTTATTATTATTATTATTATTGTTAGTGTTAGTGTTAGTGTTATTAAAGTATTACTAGGGATATGGAATAGAAAATAATATTTCCAAAAATCAAGGAAAGGAAAAGGGTAAACAGGTGAGGTACATAGAACTAGTAATTTACTCCATGGTGAAGGTGTAATTGTAGAGCCATCTGCGTGTAAACACAATTAATAAACTGAAATCACAGTGGACATTGCATATGTCTCATGCACAAAGAGCTAGAAAAAGTGTTGGATGTAATTGTTACATATATTTTCTTGATTTACTAAATGCTACCTGAATACTCTCTTGCTTAACTAACTATTATTACAAGCCAACCATTTCTTTAACAATATCATTGCTCCTTGTAAAGTTAGTACCCCATCTATATCTCTGCCTATTTTAGGGATATAAGAAGTTAATTTCTTTTAATGCGAGAGAATAGAAGACCAAGGACAGAAGAAAGAAGGTTATTTTACACTGTTTAGTTTAATAGATCTCCGTAGATACAGACAGGGAAGGAAAATGAGGAACGTATTCTAGTTGACTAATATATTTCAGGTCTTTCATCACCAGCACCATCGGTTAGCTCCATAACATCTCCTGTGCTGGCTCCTCCCCCCCGTGCTGATAGATATGCTGGTAAGTTATGTGGCATTGAATAGACCTTTATGTATAGGGTGAGAGACAAGTGGAAACTGATTTTAAATACCTGTACAATGGAAGAATCACCCACTGTAAAATAATATACTGCAGAATGAACTCTAAAGACCATAATGAAGACATAAGCAATTACCTGTCAGTGTTTAGTCAGCTTATTGACTTTGGAAATGTTAACGAAAGTGCCATAAAAGATTATTCTTGCATATTTTTAGATTTTTTTTAATACATTTTAATTGAGACGAAGTTGTAAGAATGCCTAAACTGGGATGTCTGGGAAACCCCCTCTCCAAAGTTGGAAAAATGAGTGATATATCTTTATGAATGCCCAAGTTGCCAATTTTAAATGTGTTTGTACCTTTGGAAAGCAAGAGAATGGCATACAAGATGACACACTTGTCGTCATACATGACTCCAAGTACATTTTGGTAATTTTTTGTGTAATATTTTTCTGTCTTTCTTTCTTTTTCTTTTTTTCCTGAGGAAGCTTAAGCAAATCTTTTCAAAGTCTTTTCATCCATCTGTATGCAAGGTCTCCCCCCCCCCCCCCCCCAGTTTGGGTATCCTTGAGAAAGTAGTGTGCGAAAATTTGCAATATTAACCCATTGCCGCCGGGGATGGCATGTACATACATGCCATGCCCACTGTGAGTCGACTTGTTTAATTGGTTTTACACATAGATGGCTACACTTGTACTAAGTATCCAGTTAGCCAATTACGAGTACTGCCTGTCTCGCCTGTTCACCCTTCTCATCGATTTACGAAAATATTTAACGATATCCTAATTTGCTGTTAGAAATAACACCATCTATATTTATAGCACTAGTAAGAATACGTTTTTTCCTGCCAATTCGAGGAAAGGTGAAATCAGGACTAGCAGAGCCATCTATGGACAGAGATATTTCACAAAAATATTAAAAATGAGTACTGTATTTCCCTCATTTTTTGTTCATTTTCCCGGCGGCAATGGGTTAATATACACAAACATTTAGGAAATTAAGAAAATATGTGTGATATAATTGTTCTTTTGGCTGGTTTGTTGAACTTTTTTTGAAGTTTTTTTTTTCTTTTTAATATACACAAGCCAATTATCATATCCTCATAAAACAAAGAATGTAAGAGAATGAAACGTTTACAACATTTACACTTATCAGTTTCTAAAATTAAAAAAAAAAAAAAAAAAATGGAGGAAATGAACAGATGATATTAAGGATTTCTGGTATTTCCATTAGAATCACTTTTTTATGCATTTTTTTTTATGCACATAGACATTTTTCAGGCATGATCGTTGAGCTAAGTTATGCATCAATAATTGACATGAATCCAAAGTCATTGATTAAGTATTAAGTGAAGTCTGACTCTGAAACATTATATTTTTAATTTGTAATACAGAAAGATATATATTTGAGAATGCTAGAAATGGTTTTTGGTGATTATATCCTTGTTACCTGTTAAAACTGCAGGGTTTAAATTGGGCAGTTCTTTACATTGATATTTAGTTCTATTGTTATTTATTTATTTATTTGTTTATTCATTTATTATTTAGACTGACAGAGGAATTTGAAATATGGTCATGTGGTAAATGAAATACAGTTTGATGAAATACTGACAGGAAACATAAAAGAAACATTAAATGAGTGATTTTAAGTTTAAGAATAGGTAACAAATCTAAATAGTTCAAATGGATTTGTTCATGCATTTTGTACCTCTGGAGCTTTTTCTTAATCATACTTGTTGGCACCACCCAACAATGATGCTATCTGAAATATAGTGAGCATATGACAGTTAATGCGTACTAAATTTTGTGTTTTTGCCATGCTCTGAAAGGAACATCAAAAGGTTAGTGATTCATAGTTTTGCTGAAATATACTCATCTGTGAGTGGGTTGAGAGAGATGGAGCAAGTATGTGTGTGTGTGTGTGTGTGTGTGTGTGTGTGTGTGTGTGTGTGTGTGTGTGTGTGTGTGTGTGTGTGTGTGTGTGTGTGCGCACGCACGCGCGACATCATGTGCATACAAATGCACATGATGTGTATGTTTTATGACTGCTTATGTATTTTTATATTACTGTGTTATTGATATGGTTTATATTTGTTTCTCACTTACAGAGCTGAGTGAAATTCTTAACGAAGCTGAAGGGGACACTCCACCTGCCCTTCCTCCGAGAACGGGTGGAGGCTCATCAAGTCGTGGATCCACACCCACTCCAACTATGGCAATACCACGACCACCATCAAGAAAAGCACTGGAGGTAGTGGACTCTTGTTATTACATTTGAGGATAGAACAACATCTGTAGCTTTTCCTAAGTGTAACAGTTAACCCGAGGCTAAACCAAGCCACTTACTGGGATTCATGCCACTCAAGTGAAAAATCAGAAGCATAGGAAGATGTAATTACCTTGCTCTTTGTGCTTTCTGCTACAGCATACAGGCTTTTCCAGTAATTGAGACTCAAAAAAGGCCTTAACTTCTAAGCAGCCACGCCTAGAACCAAACAAGGGAAACACTATTAAGGGTGCCCAACTTAGAGAAGGTTGACTGTGTGTTGTATATCTTTGGCATCTAGGATTTGACCTCATCTAAGTATGGCAAGAATAGGCAATGGTGTTGGTTTAATGATCGAGAGACTAGATGTATCTACAGGGAGGACATTTCATAAGTAATGTTCAATGTGTAATGCTCAAGGTATTTTTCTTTTCCCTCAGATGTTTGACATGTTGAACAAATTTTTCAGGGACCATCTCCACGGGGACGTCAAAGTCCTGCAACAGTATCCGGACTTTCTCGAGCAGAATCGGTGTCAAGTTTAGAATTCCGCACCTCCAGCATGGTGGGAACATCCCGTGGGCCATCTCCCCTCACAATTGGGTTATCTGACACCATTCCCATTGCTGTTGCATTCCAAGAGCTTTGCCATGCCTATTTTAGAGGCAGTGATGAGTCTAAGTGAGTAAATGATGAATAGAATTTTAATAGTTTAGCCTTTTGGAAAATACTGTAAATATCTTGTATTGACTGACAATGCTTCTTCTTCTTCTTCTTCTTCTTCTTCTTCTTCTTTTTGATGGCCTTATTTGTTTCAACAGGTGTCAGGTGAAAGTCACAGGAGAAATGATGGTATCCTTTCCAGCTGGTATTGTTGGTGTCTTGGCCAATAACCCATCCCCTGCTCAGCTATCATTTAGGGTTAATAACTTTGCCAGAGTTACAAATGTCTTACCCAACAGACAACTTATTACCGTGTAAGTATTCATCTTCCTTTAGTGGTCATCGTTATTATTGTTGCTACAACAATTACTGTTTTTATGGTTATCGTTATATAATTGTGTCTTATTACACAGATATAGGTAAATATTTCTTTTGTAAAATTTCAGTGTTCTTCAGATAGGCAATGGTTTATAGATGAGTATAAGTCAGGTGGTTTCAGATGCTTTTAAAACAAGACTTCCACGTTTAACAATTCTATTTTTGTTTTATGAAAAGTGATACAGAACAGTCAACTGAGGAATGTGGTGCATTTGACTTCAACATGCCTGCTCTCACTGCTCTACTTAGAAAGCAAGCAGAAAGTAACCCTTCAGCATCCTATTTTAATGTGGACATGATCAAGTACCAGGTTTGTTCATACATTTTTTTAGTGTTTTCTCTCTCTCTCTCTCTCTCTCTCTCTCTCTCTCTCTCTCTCTCTCTCTCTCTCTCTCTCTCTCTCTCTCTCTCTCTCTCTCTTAACCCATTGTTGTCGTGTGTGTGTGTTGGGGGGCTACTTGAATTTATTTTTTGGTACACTTCTTCAAATGCTACCTGATTGTTTTCTTGTAAATATTGGAAATAAGGTTGCAGTTATTTGTAATTTTCATTAGTCATTTATAGGATTACAGCTTATCCATGCACATATTTGGTGAAGTACTTGGGCATTTGTGTTGAGCTGAATTTTATGCATTTTTTCAAAGAGAAGTATTTTGTGTATAAGTAGCAGTCCTTGGAAGAAGAACTGAAAATGATTTTTACATTTCATTCTCCGTATTTATGGCTAATTGATCGTAAAATATTTTTCAGGTCAACATTGGAAGTGGAGCTCATTCATCACCACTGCAGTTAGTGTCATATTGGAAGTGTGAAGACTCCCACACTGATTTACGCATAGACTACAAGTATAACCCTCATGCCATTGCGTCACCATCTCCATTGCTCAATCTGAACATTAAGGTGCCGGTGGATGGTGTAGTTGGGAATATGCAGTCAAAGCCTTCAGGACAGTGGTGAGCCAACTTAGTTGTTTGTTTCCTTTATTTTTCTTATTAAAGTTATCCTCCGTGTGATCACCAACTCAGAGTTAGAGGCAGGTTCATTTATTTAAAATGTGATAAATCAGATAGTGATATACTGGTTTGTATGTCCTTTATAATCATAGTTTTTTCTTTTTTTTCTGTCTTTCTTTTAGAATAATGTCTATAATTATATGCATTGCAAAATATTCGTAATTCTTCATATAATAAGTTTCTTGTTCTCCCTTTAGGCTGAAAGACGAGCAGAAAGCTATGTGGAAGATGACAGAATTGTCCCAGCACTCGACAGGAGGAGGAGTAGGGTCTCTAAGAGCAAAGTTTGAGGTTGCAGCCGGCCCATCCACACCGGCCACTGTGTCCGCTTATTTCAACTGCGAAGGGACGACTGTATCTGGGCTAGAATTTAGTCTGTTTGGCTCAGGGTATCGAGTTTCACTTATTAAGAAGAGATTTGTCTCAGGTATGTGTCTAACATTTTTATTTGTATTTATTTATTTTTTTTTTTTTTTTATTATAAATGGGGGAAGGGTTAGACATTGATATGTGGGTTGCTGCATGTGCATGACTATACACAAAATTTTCTGTCCTCCAAATTTAATGTCTTTTTTTTCAACTAGCCTATGAACTGACTTGGTACTCTCAAACCAATATTAGCACCTAACCACCAAAAAAGAAAGAAAGAAAGAAAGAAAGAAAGAAAGAAAGAAAAATTCACTAGCAACCTCTACTGTCACTGATCCCCCCCAAACTCCCATTTGCTCTCAGTTTTCATGAGCTTGATCTGCCTGGGATGACAATTTATATGAAGCCATCTCCCATAATAGAGAGGCATTAGGCTTACTTGAGCAGCCACTTTGCCAGTAAGCAATTTTAACCTTTATGGAATTTTCAAATTTATATATTTATCATTTGATTTGGTTGATCTTTGCTCACATAGGAAAGCATCTGTATAAGTAGTCCATAACTCAGTGCAATAATAATGATGATTAACCCAATGGTGCCGGGTGTACAAAAGAAAAAAAAAACTCTACGCTTAAACAAACAAAGGCGGCGTGAGTAGGGGACATCAGCCCGAATCACTGGCTCGCCGCGCTTTGGCGCGCCGCCGGCTCGTTCGGCTGCACGCCAGCTTTCGAGCTCTTTGTTTACACGCCGATCGGCGTCTTCCGGCATGAAGGGGTTAACACTGTTATTTGTGTCATTAAAAAAAAATTAATTTCTTTCAATTTGCAATTATACAACCTGTGGTGTCATTTATGACGGGCAGGAATAGGATCCTAGAATGGAATTGGCATCCTCCCAAGAACTGGTGCTCTTCCAGTCCTGACACAGGGACATTAAATTCCACACTTGTTTATTGATGGAAATCATGCAAAAGCCCCTTCCTAAAGGCCAAATGAGTCTAATAACCCTTCAAGAGGTTTGTGCACTTTTGGCGAGTCATTCCTTCCTGTCACCTCGGTTAACACATGCACATAACTGTTAGGAACCCATAATATGCTCAAAGGGAGGGGACGTTGGTCAGATTTTGTAGATTGTAGTTAATGACACTAAATCTGTAGAGTCAAATATCAAAAATTACATTATGAGAGAAAGAGCAGTAATACAGTAATGTACTTTAAATCATGCACATCATCCAGTCTCACAGTATAAAGTATCTGCATAACTAAAACTGAAATTTTTTAATGCCATATTCCACACACCTCAGTCTGATCTATGTATTTCTAGAGATAGGTCATAGTGTATGAGCAGTAGAGTCAGTCACAAAGAAAACAAAGAAATATTTATTTACACAAAACAAACACCCTGCTGAATCCTTTAACCCATTGCCGCCGGGGAAAATAAACAAAAAATGGGGAAAATACTGTACTCATTTTTTTTATTTTTGTGAAATATCCCTATCCATAGATGGCTCTGCTAGTCCTGATTTCACCTTTCCTTAAATTGGCGGGAAAAAATGTATTCTTACTAGTGCTATAAATATAGATGGTGTTATTTTTAACAGCAAATTAGGATAACGTTAAATATTTTCGTAAATCGATGAAAAGGTTGAACAGGCGAGACAGGCAGTACTCGAATTGGCTCATTGCATACTTAGTACAAGTGTAGCCATCCATGTGTAAAAACAATCGAACAAGTCGACTCAAAGTGGGCATGGCATGTACATACATGTCATCCCCGGCGGCAATGGGTTAAGGTCATTTGGTTGTAATCTTACTGGCTTTGCTGCCATGATAGTGGTATTTTTTTCATAATAGTATTACATCTCTACATGAGGGTTTGTAGGAACAGTGATAGTAGAGGCTGGCTTGTTGATTTTTTTCTTTTTTCTTTGTTTTATTTTACTGTGATATGCACTTGTTTATGTACAGTTCTCAATTATTTCTGAGAGCACCAAGACGGCTGAAAGTTTGGTCTTAACAGTAGAATAATGTCACACCTCCAAGACAGAGAAAGAAACATTTTCATTCCTCAGATGTCTTGTTTTTTCTTCATCTTTCTCTTTGTATGTCTCTCCTTTTATATTTACAAAGTACACGCAATAACCAGTGTATGAGAAGACTTACATGGTTTCCAGTAATTTAAAAGTAATCAAAATTAGTGTAGTTATAATCATATTTACACACTTCACATTGTTAATTTTTGTTTCTGCCTTTTTTTTTTTCAGGCAAATACATCTGTGATGCAGATGCTGTGTTAAGACTACGATATGGCTCGATCCCTAGTTAGTATTATAAGATATATATATATATATATATAGAAATTAAGTTTTATTGAATGAAAGATTATGATAAATGCAAGGAGTGTAATGTACAGCATTTGGTGACATACCACACATAGTAGAAATAGCTAAAGTGGGACAGTATCTCTGACTTTTATGTGATTATGTGTCTTTTACAACACTCTGCCTCATATTCTTGTACTTTTCTCACCAATTCATTTCCTTCAGGTCACTCTAAAATATAAACAGTTACAGAATAATGGAACCCAGTAAAAATAAAGCTTAGGATAGCAGTATAGAAAAGAAGTGCATTCTTGAAAGTTATGCCTACTCATTTATTTTGCAGAGGAAATTTTTTTTTTTTTTCTTTTATTCATATATAATTATCATTTTATAATTTTCCTTTTCTGATGATGATTTCTTAGAATAGCTTGTTTCTTACAATGTCTCTAGTAATCAGAATTACAAAAAGGGTCAGCACGATGAAAATGTACCAAAGGTTGTTTGTGTGAGATAATACTGGTAACATTGAAATGATTCCTAAAAGGGGTGCACAATAGGAAGTAATGATGCCTGAGGTAATGTCCATGTTGAGGACCTTCTTATATACTCTGCTCAAGAAGCCCTTGGATCTTCATCGAGAGAATAATGATCTCGTTTAGATGAAGCGTGTTATTTTCAGTGGAAGAGTTTAGTACAATTTTTTTGAGCTTCAGAAGCTGAGTGTCTGTGGGTGGTTCATCAGAGGGTTTTACTTTTTATTGAACTTTTTTCTTGGTCTGCAATATATATTTTTTTGCAACTGTGGTAATATTCTGAAACTATCTGGAAGCATCTGGAAGTTCAAGAATGATCACTTTATATTTGCATCAAGTTTCAACTTTGGGATGTTGCAATCCTTCATTTTATCTAGGTTGAGAGAACATCAGTAGGACCTAGCTTTGTTGAAATTGTAAAGTTATCAAAGAATATCAAGTGGAACCCACTACTATCAGTCTTTAATGAAGGAGCTGACGTATCGAAGGCTGAATTCATAGCGTGTGTAGTCAGGAGTTTGCTGATCCCTTTTGTATCAAACGTCTTACGAACGGACACATTTGCGCACCCTTAGAGAGCGTCGTAGTCCTCTTTCTCTCGGAACGTCGTCGTTTCACCAGTTATAAGATGTGTTTAGAGAAAAATTATCCTCTTTATCACCATCTCTCTTTTGTCTGAATGATTAATAACCACATTCTTTTATTAGTCTATATATTAGTAACTTCGAATATTAGAGATGACTAATTTAATGAAGAAAATAAAATGGAAGCACTGAGAGAAATTTGCCCATGCTGTTTCTGTTCTATAAATTTGCACCATTTGTATTTAACACTACAGTAAACTCTTGTAAAGGTTAATCCTATGACAAAATAATGATTTTGTGTACAAGTTCATTATATCTTAAGCATCTTCTCCTTATTCATTATTATTGCATCTCATAACGTTTTTTGTTTTTTTTTTCCAAATATTGTCGTCATGAGTATCAATCAGAGTCTTGTTATGATTTATGAGGATTATTGTTAATTATGTGGTAATGATTATGATAATGATGATGATAATGATAATTGTGATGGTAGTTATCATTATTACTGTTGTTATTATTATTATAATTATTATTATTATTGTTATTATTATTATTATTATTATTATTATTATTATTATTATTATTATCGTCCTTATTAATATTATTATTATTATTATTATTATTATTATTATTATTATTATTATTATTATTATCATTATCATCATCTTAATCATCATTATCACTTCATTAACATCATAATTATTATTATTGTTATTATTCTTATTGATTTCTTATTGTTACTATCATGATCATTATTTTGATTATAATAATATTATTATTATTATTATTATTATTATTATTATATCATCACCATCAACATCATTGTTATTGTTATTATTATTAATATTAATATTAATATTAATGCTGATGTTAATATTAATGTTAATATTGATATTGTGTTAATATTAATATTAATTAATATTAATATTACTGTTAATAATAATACCAATAGTACTTCTACTTCTACTACAGCAGTGATGTTAGTGAAGGGGATGATGAGTATAATTTTAGTAATAATGATTGAAGGGAATAATTATGTTAATCATAATATTTATTATTATTATTATTATTTTTTTTTTATTATCATTATTAATTGTTATTTATTTATTATTATTATTATAATTATGAATATCATTATTATTATTATTATTGTTATTATTATTATTATTATTAATAGTGTTATCATCATCACCATCATCATTATTAATATTATTATTATTATTATTATTATTATTATTATTATTATTAATTATCATCATCATCATCATTATTATTTTTATTATTATTATTATTATTATCATCATTATTTTTATTATTATTATTATTATAGTTATTATTATTATTATTATAGTTATTATTATTATTACTATTATTATTATTATTGGTATTAATATTGTTATCATCATCATCACCATCACCACCATTATTATTATTATTATTATTATTATTATTATTATTATTATTATTATCATTATTGTTATTCATTTTTTAAGTATCTTTGATAAACCTGGAGTGTTGTATTTGAATTTTGTTTTTATATATCAGTATAATGTCATCTGCAGAGGATTTTACTGCATATAGTTTATTTACTTGTTTATTATTATCAGTGTCTCCTCTAAAGTTTGTATTATATATTTTTTTTCTTATAATGAATTGATATCCATTCCACTTCATGCAAAAATTACATGTACATATGATGGCGAATGGAAATACTATGTAAATATATGTATATCTAAATCATCACTTTTTCAGCTAAATAGGAAGTGTATTTGTTAATTAGGCATTTTAGTGAATTGATTTCTGATTTGATTGTGCTTGATCTTTCACAGGATTTAGTGTTATCTATGTACAAAAAGTGTAGTTCAAGCCTAAGAACCTCACTGACGCCAGTGAGATATACCAAAGCCGTTGAACAAAACATGTTCCTGTATTGTAAGTGGTATTTACACAATGCCTTTGTGGACGAATAGTATTGAATTATAAATGGCTTACACTTGTAACTGTCATACAAAAAGCATAGAGTTGCACTAGAAAGACTGCAAAGCTGTAATTTTGACTAGTCAGCAATGCTCTTCCTTCATATTATGTATACAGGTCTGTTAAAAAAAGTTTATTTTATTTATTTTTTCTAAGGATTATGATAAATTATAGTTAAATCTTTAAGTGATTCGTTATCATTGAACATTATTTCAGATTTGTAGTTGAGGTTAGGAAATGTACACTAGAGGCATGTTGAATTTTATAACTTTAAAAACCATAATTTTGTTCATAGAAATCATTCTTAGTTTTTAGGCATTATGTGTTATTGCTGAAAAAGAACATTAACAAGACAGATCTTGCAGTTCTCCTCTCCTTAATATGATACCACCTTTACTTAGATGACACCTGATGTGGTACAACAGTGTTCCCTCTCCAAGATACCTTTGCTCTGCAGTGGTGTGCAAGTGCTTGTTAATAACATATACAGTTGTGGGTGAAATCTCCTTGTTTATACCCTGCTGACTGATCTACAGCTAAAGCTTAATTGTTCAAGTTGAACATCAAATGTTGTGATAAGTTTTGAAGTGCTTGTGGCCAGACACATACTGATCCTGTGAAGATTTGCCTTAATGTAACTTACATCACATCTGTCTTGATAGATATGGTGCTAATGGTAACAGCAGAATTAATTTTCTATATACTCAAATGTTATATGCTTCAATTTCTTTTGTGCATTCAGTTATTGGTTAAAAATAAATGTTTGGAACAGTCTTATTACCCGGTTGAATGTAATACTTGTTTGCTATATCTCAAGTGAGGACCTGTTGGGCAGTGTGCATATTTACATAAGGCTTATATCACATGTGGCTCTGCAGTTTTGTTTAATGTTAGCTGTATAATAGAATTTGCTAATTAAAAAAAAAGCGACAGTTTTCGTCTACCCTTAAAATAAATGAATGGGAGTATCGGACTTATTCTTTGACGATTATCAGAGCCATACGTATGGGAGCAGGGCACTTTGATGTGCTGTTGCTGCTGACGCTCGTTCGGAGGCAGCAACTGTCTGTGTAGGAACCTGGTATATTGTTCAGGAGTTTTCTAAATGCTAGAAAAAGAGAATGAAAACTGTCCAGTAATATTTAAGAATATTTTTAGAACTTTCCCAGATACAGTGTTATTCACAAGTTTTCTGTCTATAAAAAAGAATAAAATAAATATTCTGTAAATATTTCACAAAAAATGTACTTGTAGATCTTGTATAGAAGTATTGTTGAAATTGCAGTTGTTAATTCTTTGTTAATGCTCTTCTTTTACACAGTTATAATCAAATATTCTGCTTTGAATATGAGATTGTTGTAGTGATAGAATACTTTAGTTCATAATTCTGAGAAGAAGCTGTTAATTTCCTTTGTAAGTATACAGATGATTTCCTTAACAGTTCCTCAGAGTGACTCAAGAATTGATTAGATGCTTGCAATCATTCTTTTCCAAAGTCTTTATTTTTTCAGTCTTCCTTTTTTTGCACTGAAGACGTATCTATGTAGATATATATATGTATATTTCTCTTACTGTTCCTTTCTTTTATAACTGGTGCCCCTTCAGCTTTTAACCTCACACCTTTGAAATTACAATTTAAATGTAGAACAATTTATACTTGGTAATGAATTTTAGAAGCAATTTATAAAGTTATAATCCATAGTCTTCTGCAAGCCCGGATGATTAAGAAATGCTCAAAGCTCAAAACATCAAGTATTATTGTCTTGGCTTGTTCCTCTTCCCTCTCGAAACAGTAAGAAGGATAGTGATTTTTTTTTTTTTTTTTCTTTATTATGATTTCAGAGAATTGGGCATCGTAATCTCATATCAAAATCTTAATCATAGATGTATATAAAATTAAAGGCAAAAGTAATTTTCATTTTATATCTCTTCTATTTTGTGTCAAAAATGCTGTCATTCATAGGAGGTTTAACATATATGTCCATTTATTGAAATAATCATCAAAGCTGGTTGCCTGTATTTGTCTCCTGATTACTAGATGTTTACCATAAATCAGTTTATGCTAATATCAAAAAAACAGTAACATTATGCAATGCTATAATATATTCATTGACTTTTAACATTAGCATTCTTAAAATGCCATTGCAGATTTGATGCCAGAGTCCTGGTAATTCACAGGATCTGCTCGCAGTAGTAGACCTCAAAGGGATAACTTGCCCATGAAGGCATTGCTCAGAGGTGATTTCTCCACTGAGAGTAATCTTTCCATACATTCTCCATCGTTGTTTCATCACCAGTGTGGCAGTATAGGAGGCACTTTGAAGATTTGAAAGTGGAGGTGGTTTCCTATGAGAAAGAATTCCAGAATTTGGTGTAGAATTCTTATGATGGTTGTAACCATATGATAATCGTATGACACCTTAAATAAAAGCACCTTTCTTCAGGATATCTCAAAATCTGCAAGTTTCAGTTTGCATGCTGCTCGCAGTCCTGGCTCAGTTCACTTTCTTTGATTTTAGGAAAGATAATTTGATATGGCTTATTTTGGATGATTCATAATTGAAATATTTGGTTTTGTCAAGACAAAAATGTAATACAAGATGAGTAGGTTTTATGTTTTTTATTATTATTATTTTGCTACTGTTTATTTTGATTCTTGAAATTTATTATCTTGCCAATATTTTCAAATTTATTTGATAATGCATCATGATTCTTAGTTATTATGATGAAAGTCGCTTGCCTTTTTTTGTCTTGTCTTCCTCAAGTTTTTGCTTTGCCTCCCAGTTCTGGGGAAAAATAACCACTTTCACCAATGGAATTGAGATTTTGTTTCAGTCAATGTTAGTGCCATATGCAATCCAAAGAAATTGTTTGTACTAAACTATTACTTTAGAAGACTTGATTTGTTTAAATTATTTATCATATTAAAATTACAGTTGAATATTGTTTGTGTTTATTTGATGTGCAACAAGGAAGCATCAGCAGTGTAGGATCAATGCAGAATAGAACACCCCATGCATTTTTATCAAACACATTCCAGACAACTGCTTCAGCAAAGGAATATGTTTATGATCTATTGGAATAGTTTCTAGATACCAAGAAAAGTTGTCTCTACCGAGTCAATTTGTTTTCTATAGGGGGGAGGGATCTGAGGAGCTTAGCAGAATAAAGAAGTTTTTGGTCTTCATGGTTTTTTTGTTTGTCTGATTAGAAGCTATTCATTTTAATAAAGCTGGTTATTGCCATTACTTTGTTATTACCAGCTAAATCAAAATTATATATAACATCAGTGGTCTTTTTTTTTTTCCCTTACAATGGTACAGGTTTTTTTGTTCAGTTTTTTTTTGTTTTTATATTTGTAGGCCGCATTCAAAAGTTGGTAAAGTGATTCATAAGTTATTTCCCTTTAGCCCTTTGATGGCAGGGGTGCACCTATGCATGCACTCCCCACTGCAGTTTTATTTGGTAGTTTTGCATACACATAGAAGGCTCCAAAAGCATTTATTTACCAACAAATCTGTTACTAGCCATATCCTGACCTATTTATCTTAAGTTTTTATTTTTATTATTATTAATAATGTCATGATGTTAATGATCATAATG